GAGCAGGGAGCCCGATGCGGGGCTCGATCCCAGGACCCTGAGATCATGACCTGAGCTGAAGGCAGATGCTTAACGACTGAGCCACCCAGGCGCCTCTCACCTAGTTTTTTAAAATATGATTTTATTATATATAATTCATATACCATCAGCTAGTATTTTATTTTCTTCGTCCACTTAACTGATTATACTGTATTCATTGTGGCCAGACCCTGGCCAGTTATTGGGTAATTGATGTTAGTCAGATAGAATGTCACTGAAAGGTTTCCATCACTTCTCTATGTTAGTTATTGTAATTCGTGCGCACAGGCGCGCGCACGCGTGCACACACACACACACACACACAGTGAATAGGAAAAAGGCTTATCAAAGCTGGAAGAGTTTGAGTAAATTGAATCTGACTTTGTAAAACTGAATAAATCAACTACATTTTGAAAGTATTTGTAATTTTAGTTCTGGTAGACTGTCAGGGAGAGGAAAGGATAATCTGCTTTGGAGTAGAATATAAGGTCATCAGACACCTGGACCCAAAAGTATGTGACAGGAGCACTTTTCTCCTGTGCTCCTTTTTGAGTCTAGTCAACGTTTGGTACTGATAATGATTTTATCTTCATCATTTTTTTCCTGATATTTCTCAAACTCATTAATTTTTTTAGCTGAGGTGTAATTGACATACAACATATAGTTTTGGGTGTACAACACAATGATTCAGTATTTGTATACATTGTGAAATGATCACTGCAATAAGTCTAATTAACATGTTTCACCTTACATAGTTACAAAAGACTTTTTTTTTTTTTAAAGATTTTTTTAATTTATTTATTTGAGAGAGAAAGAATGAGAGAGAGCAAGCACATGAGAGGGGGGAGGGTCAGAGGGAGAAGCAGACTCCCCGCCGAGCAGGGAGCCCAATGCGGGACTCGATCCCGGGACTCCAGGATCATGACCTGAGCTGAAGGCAGTCGCTTAACCGACTGAGCCACCCAGGCGCCCTACAAAAGACTTTTGATGACAACTTTTTAAACCTGTTCTCTTAGCAATTTTCAAATACGTTACACAGTATTCTTGACTATAGTCACCATGTTATACATTCTATTCCTATGACTTATTTTATAATATTGTCATTTTCTGATTTTAGTCCAGTGTACAATGATTAATATGAGTATTGCTGCTTTGTTAGAAACCTGCAACTTGGTGTACATATCCTGGGTGGCTGGAATTTTTCCTGCTGCTCTGGGCTAAATTAGTGTATTTCACACACTCCTTGCTTTACCCCCTACCTCAACTCCTCTTAAAAAGAAATCCAGAAAAGAAGTAGAGCTAGTGGCAAGTTTTCTAATTGTATTTCTGGTAAGGTTGTGATTACTGAATGTAAATAATCAGAGAAATAACATTGGTTGTCCTTCTACAGAAATAGAAAGCTAAAATGGTGTTTCGGAGTGAGACCGGCTTGGATCTAAAATCACTTACTAACCATGAGTAAATCCTTACAACTCTTATGAATCCTGTTATCCATATCTGTAAAGTAGAAATGATACCTAGTTTGCAAGGCTATAAGGATCATACATAATAAAGCACCTCTATAATGTTTGGCACATAATAGGTGCTCAAGAAATGGTCATTGTTCTTTATAATCCTCAGACTACTATTCTCCTCTACCTTTTTAGGTGATATCTTGAATGATGAGAGCATATTCATTTTTCATCTGTAGATTTGCCATAACATCCGTGATTTTAATTTATGATACATTGTCAACTGGAATCTCAAATAATTTGAGATTAAGTGACTAGTCTTTGCTTGAGTTCCAGTTTGCTTTCATCTTGAAGATTTAAATAAATGTAGTTTATGGGAGAAGATTCAAAAGGATAAGGAAATTGTGACTAGTGTCCATTCACAGTGCTGAGACTGTTGTTGCTGTGCATGTTTTCTAGAAGCTTTGGCTCAGAATTTGATGGAGTGATTCGTGTTCTGACTGTATTATCTTCATTTAGGTCATTGCTGTATTCAAGAATGTGTTTAATTCAAGTTCCAACCCATACACGGGATCCAGACTATTTCACATCACTCCTTATGATGTTCAGGTGAGGCATGTAGGAATATCCTCTGTTCTTTTACATTTTTCTTTGATTTCCTCTGCTCCCACAACCAGGCACACTTGTGAAATCTCACCGGCATGTCTTTTTCAGCTGGGCTACTCAGTCCTTTCCCGTGGCAGTTACGTTCCTCTACTGTCCCGCCGTCCCCTGTCACTCTTGCACCAGTCGTTACGGCCTATGGAGTCTATTATGAAGTGTGTGCAGATGAGCTGGATGGTTATACTTGTGGGGCCAGCCTCTGTGGGCAAGACCAGCCTGGTCCAGCTTCTGGCACACCTGACTGGTCACACATTAAAGATCATGGCTATGAACAGTGCAATGGACACTACAGAGCTTCTGGGTGGATTTGAGCAGGTAAATGGTCTGCCTTCACATTTTCAGGCAAAACATACATAATGCTGTGGTCTGACCGATGGTCTTTTGAGTTGGTGACTACAAGTAGTATTTTATTTATTTATTATTTTTTTAATTTAAAGGAGTATTCTTTTGAGTCTGGTCAGTGGCTATGATGAGTTTGTGCTCTGGAAATTTCAGGTTGATCTTATACGTCCGTGGAGGCAGCTGCTAGAAAAGGTGGAGGGCACTCTAAGGGCACTGTTAAGAGACAGCCTCCTTATCAGTGCTGAAGATACAGAAGTAGTGCTAAGAGCCTGGAGTCACTTCCTTCTGACTTATAAGCCCAAGTGTCTTGGAGATGGTGGTAAAGGTATCACAGTGGAGATTGTCAACAAGCTGGAAGCGGTATTACTGCTTATGCAGCGACTCAACAATAAAATCAACTCCTACTCCAAGGCAGGTATGTGTGTTTGGATGTGTTTATCAGATATGTATGTAGCATTGTCCATATCGTGTCCATATATAGGTAGTAATATATTTGTAAGGTAATATCTGTAATTTTTTTTTTTTTTAAAGATTTTATTTATTTATTTGAGACAGGGAGCATGAGAGACAGAGAGCATGAGAGGGAGGAGGGTCAGAGGGAGAAGCAGACTCCCC